AAAGGCACCAATTTTGGGTGCACCCTATGACAGCCTCTGTCTCCATTGATAAATATGTGACGGAGCTCAGACAAAAAAGTAAGGACTGTGAGTTTGGCGCCTCGGAAAACGACATGATCAGAGACAAGATTGTGTTCAGTATGAATGACCAGCGTCTCAAAGAGAGTTTTGAGGGGGCCAAATCTTACATTAGAAAAGGCCATAGACACTTGCTGTGCAGCTGAGATCGCCAGAGCTCAAATACAAGCAATGAGCGCAGCCACTCAAGAGAGATCTGTACATACAGTGCATAAGAACAAACAGGACAGTCAACCACGAAATAAAGGACCAAAGCAACCTTTTCAACACACACAAAGCAGTGGACATGTAAACACAAAATGTGGAAAATCACACCAGCCCAAACAATGCCCAGCATATGGAGTTTCCTGCCGCAAGTGTGGTAAACAGAACTGCTATGCAAAGATGTACAGCATAGAAGAACAGTGCATGATATCAGTCCAGAAATTGACACTCTGTTTATTGGAACAGTGAACATAGACCAGCTCGACTCCAGCCTTGACAAGTCCTGGTATTCTGAAGTACGGGTTGACAATATGTCGGTACAAATTGGACACAGGAGCAGAGGCCAATGTCCTACCACTGAGGATGTTTAAGTCCATGAAAAGGAAGGCCAGACGTGAAAGGAGAGCACACCTGCAGCTACAGCCCACAAAAACAGTGCTGGTTGCTTATGGAGGGATGAGGCTGAGGCCAGAGGGGTTACTCACACTCACGCTCCACACCCAAAGCTCATGCAAGTCTGCCGTTTTACATATCAAGACACTCATCCACACCTATCCTAGGGGGAGAAGCTTGTGAAGACTTGCACCTGGTAAAAAGGATGGACATCAACAAACTGGACGTGAAACTACAAAGGAGGAGCTGATAGCTCAACACCCAACAGTCTTTGAAGGTCTGGGGGAGTTTGCCGGAGAATATCACATCCACACAGACCCCAAGGCTACACCAGTCATACACGGCTGCAGAAAAATACCACTGGCCGTGATGGATAAACTCAGAGACACTCTTGATGACCTGTTACAAGCAGATGTGATTGCACAGGTGACTGAGCCAACACCATGGGTAAATAGCCTTGTAGTCATGGAAAAGAAAGATAAGAAGAAATTGAGGGTTTGCTTGGACCCCACAGATTTAAACAAAGCAATACTAAGACAGCACTACTCCATCCCCACAACAGATGAAGTTTTGTGCAAACTTGCTGGTAAGAAGATATTCACAGTGCTGGATGAGAAGGACGGCTACTGGCAAGTAAAGCTTGACCAGGAGTCATCGCTGCTGTGCACATTTAAAGGACAATTCCGGCGCAAAATGAACCTGGGGTTATTGCTGCAGCTACAGAAAAAGAA